GGCGGCGGCAGCGGCCGGGCTGCCAAGCGCCCGCGTCCCCGGACCGCAGCGAGTTAAGCGCCGCCCGCGCCGAGAGGGCTGAACCCGGAGCCGCCGCTCCGAGCTCGCATTCGGATCCGCTAGAGCAGGAAGATGGCGACGGACGGCGCGAGCTGCGAGCCCGACTTCTCCCGTGCCCCAGAGGACGCGGCGGGGGCCACGGCGGAGGCGGCGGTAACCGAGGTCCCGGGGTGGGCGCGGGGAGAGTGCAGGCGCGGGCTGGACCCGGCTTGCGCCCCGGGGCGCTCCGCAACCCCGGGCTCCCCGGGGTGCCCCCTCCGCTGGGTAGCCCTTCCGTGGGTGCCCCCTCCTTGCGGTGCCTCACGGCCGGAGTCCGGGTCGAGGAGGGTGAGGCGGCCGCCTGGGTTCGGGATCCCTCCCGTCCTTTCCCAGCCCCGCGGGAAGCACTCCCGGTCCTCCCGGTTCTCGGGGCTCCCTGCGTGTGTCCTGTGCGACCCCTTTGCCCACTCCCTCAGCTGCTGTGGGGTTTGGTCAGGGGCGGGGGCTGGCGTATGTTTCTAGGCGAACTTGACCCCCCATTGTTCGCCTCTAGCTGCGCGCGTGGTGGTGGGCGCGTGTCTCGAGGCTGCCTGGCATCTCTCAGCGGACCCAGGAAGGCAGCTAGGGGGAGACGGGTCATCGCCAGGCAGGTGTGGGGATGCCCATTGTGTGTGTGTTCATGTGCCTGCGGCCCCTTTAGAGAGAGGCCGGGTGTCGGCTTTGGGCGCTGCTGCCTCCCGCTTAGCGTCGTAGCTTTGCGTCCTAGCTGCCTGCCGCCCATCTCTTGGTGGTGGGGGGCCGGGGTGGGAGGGTGTCCTCGTTCTTCCCTAGAAGGTGCCCGGGCAAGGTGGAGATTCAGCACCTGATGTCCACACATTGTTCTTCTTCGCTGGGATCTAGAAGCCTAATGAGCTTCCATCCAACGCTGGCCCCACTTTCGGCCCCACAATATCCCTGTGCACAGAGACTGAATGGTGGTTTCCAGCCCCTACCTTGGTGGAGGGGGAAGGGCTGGACCCACATTTCCTGGGTGGAAACGTTTTCGGAGTTGAGAAGCAGCTTCGCAGGAGCTGCAAGGATCTGTAAAGAAAGGCAGCCCTGGGAGCGCCTCCCACCCTTGGCGCGGTCCCGCTGCTCCAGCGGGAGATTCCGGTGGTGTGGATTGAGAAGAGCATGGACGCCCCGCAGTTCTTTTCCTAAACAGAGTCGGTGTTCGAGCAGCAGAGGGCAGGGCCAGGTGTGAATAATCTGGGCTATTTGAACTTCTTCCCTCTCTATTTGGACGTAGGGCTTTCTGGAGAGGTAGAGGAGAGATGTGGAGGTGGAGGAGGCTACTTGAGCTGAGCCTGGGCAGGAAAAAAGAGGGAGAGAAGGAAAAACGGAGGAGGAGGAGGGCTGCTGATTTCCACTTGTGAAACTTGCAAGTTTTAATCTGAAACTTTGAGGAAAATTGATTTTTCATTCTTTGCATGGAAAACGTGAACTTAAGATTTCAAATGAAACCTGCTCGCTTGTGATGCAGTGAAATCAGTTGCCTTTTGTGAAATACAATAAAGAAGCTAGCTATTAAGACAACACAAACCTCTCTGGGAAGTTGAAGTGATTGGGTACCTTCATCCCCAGGAGATGCTAAAGGGAGGGGAATGAGAAAAAAGAGGTAGGGTGTGTGCTGTTTTCCAGGAAGGTTGAATTTGTTTAATCGACTTGGAACAGCCTTCTTTCTATTACAATACCTCAGTCTTTAATCACCTGACAATTAAACCAAACACAAACATCTGATTTATGGTCTGTAACTGATCTATAGTTTTATTTGGTTAGATTGCAAACAGAATCTTGGGCGCCAGACAGATTTTTGTGTTAACAAGGTCCCTGTTCCCTTTCTGCTTTCGAAAATTTTCAGGAGTCTGATTTTTCACTGTGGATAGGTGGGGATTTTATCATTTCACCCTGGTTAGTGATAGCCATGGAAAAATCTGTGAAAGTAAAACTTGTTACTTCTGTAGAATCCTTGGAGGATGCAATAAGGATGCTTAATCTAACAGTTTTTTAAATAATTTTTTAGTAAAATTCTGATGATGTCTTATTATGCAGTAAACTGGGCATTTTACTTTTCACTTAATAACGTATGGTCCTCCTGTATCAGCCACTTGACTTATAGCTTGATTTTTAAATATTTGTCATTTAGCTGCTTCTTATCTGATGATTAAAAATCAGGGCGCCTGGGTGGCTCAGTTGGTTAAGCGACTGCCTTCGGCTCAGGTCATGATCCTGGAGTCCCGGGATCGAGTCCCACATCGGGCTCCCTGCTCGGCGGGGAGTCTGCTTCTCCCTCTGACCCTCCTCCCTCTCATGCTCTCTGTCTCTCATTCTCTCTCTCGCAAATAAATAAAATTTAAGAAGAAAAAAAAAATCAAAGACATTTTTATGCATTTTGGGTTCATGGCAACTGAGGACTTAAAATTTCTTCATTTTTAAGGAATAAGTTTTTTTACATTTTAGAGATTTATTTCATTTCAAATTAGTTTACATATTATGCATTTTTGTATGTACATTTGGCAGTCATGAGCCAATGGAGACTCCAAAGCAGTAGGCTATTTTTGAAAGTGAGTGTTTTCACTAAGTTTTGACTATTTAGATTGTTGCTTAGAGACATGTTTAATTTATAGTTTTCAGCTTAATGTGATTTTCAGTGGAGTGTTTTAAATTTAGTTTGTGATCCTTGTTCTTAGCTGTTTAAATCCTGAAAGCATCCCAAGTGTAAAGCTGGGTAACAGCTACATTATTCAGTAGGATCATATTAATAGTCTTTGCTGTGAACCATGCCGAGAGACCTGGGTTATTTTCAGTGCCTTAGCCAAATGTGATGATTTTTATAGGCTATATTGCTATTTCTACTCTGAAAATAACTCCTAATGGATAAGGCAGTATGGAAAACAGAAATCTTCCTGCTTTTTTATTGTCACCAAAGAATTTAAGAGTGACAGGAAAATGGAGATCTCTTTAGAGTTGTGTTTGGGAAGCTGACCAACATTCTTGTCATTCTGGACTTTTCTGGAGCAGCTAATATGCAAAAAGTAGATATAAATTTTTGTTGTCATGGTGATAATGACAAAAAAACTTGGACAGTGCTTTTATTAAATGCACAACAGGAATATTAGCAGCTGATACTGTGGAAATTTTTGTTTCCAGGTGACAATATTGAATGTAAATGCAAAGAAAAGCACTTTCTTAGCCAATTTTGCTAACCTTTCTTAAAACAGCCATGTTATATGGCAGCTATAGAATATTGAAAGTTTCACAGCATAATTTTTAAGTAGGGAATAATTTAGATTTAACACGTTACCACCCACTTACCAAGATGGTGGCATCACGAGTAACATCTTTGCCACCATAAAAAGTAACACATCCCATTCCAATGGTAGAAACTGATAAATGCCAAGGAATCAAATCAGACATGATGATGTCATGAAAGGCACAAATAATTTATATTAGGAGTCTGGGGAGGAGGAGTCATGGAAAGGATCCCTAGTGGAAGGACCTGGAAACATTCCACAGAAGGATGGCATTTGAGTTGGGCCTTGAGATGGAAGGAGGACTTGGAAGTGGAGACAGCAGGAAGCTGTGTGCCATGTAACTGGTTCTTAGGATTCCTTGAAAGGTGGCCTGGGGCACATGGGAGGGGCTTTCCAAGATGAGCATAGAGTTTCAACTTCAGTCTCAACAGAGTGCTTTAGAAAAATAGGTTAGAAGTTGAGGAAATCGACTGAAATATTCCCCCACTATTAGACTATGATGCTTTTCAACATGATGCTTTTCACTCTTTTTTCTTCTTAAATAATGTATATTTCTGTGCCTGTTTTTTGACTTTATTATTGTTGTTGGTATCGTTGCTATTACATTTCTTACAGGAGCAATTTTGTTTAGAGAAAAGCATTTGTCTTCTGTGTGATTGAATCCATGCCTAGGCTAGATTGCCAGTTGGTTCTATCCTCTTGTGTTTCATGTAACTTTATGAGGTGAGAAAATGTTTCACAGACTGAGTACTTATTCAGCCATTTACAGATATCTCCTGTTGATCTTATGCACAGCAAGGCTGGAGCTGGAAGAGAGCAGCCTCCTTCAAGAAAAGCTGTGTGGGTTTTGTTTCCAAAAGAAAGCAAAGGTTAAGCACTGTGCCAGGCAAATACATGGTAGGTGTTTCACTAATATGGAATGAAGAAAATGAGCACTCACTAAGAAGTTGTGTCATAATACTTACTGTTTGGCTAATTGGGAAATTTACTTTGTGTGTTACTAAGTTGTTGGCCTATGATTTGTAGTAATTAACATTATAGATGTTACAGAGCTTTTCTTGTTTCTGGAAGATGACCCTGATTTTCTGATTTTTGTTTGTTTGTTTGTTCTTATTTGTATTTGTATATTGTCTCTTTCCAAGCTGCTTTTCTTGGTGACATTTCAGATTCACAGGTTTTTAAAAAATTAATTTACAATACTATTAGTTTTCCCTTTAGATTATCTCTCTTCAGAGTAATGGCTGAGGCTGGGAATGGTAACTGCATCCCTCCCATCCTGAATTCTTCCTAAAATAGAGTCAAGGTCAAATCACCCACTGGGGTGTAGAGGGAGGGGATGATTGAGGGGGGGTCAAGACAGAAATGGAAAGAAGTTTGGAAACAGGAAAAGGGAATAAAAGGAAAGATTAGACAGGAAGATAGGCAAGGCTTTGGAATAGTCTGCAAATGCCCAGAAATCTGGAACCTGAATTCAACTTTAAATGTGCCTAGGAAAGATGGAGCAGTTTCTCTCCCTTCTGCCCCCATATACTTTGCCACCTAAGCACATCTGAGTGTTGTTTTAGAAAAGACTATTTGAATGCACTCAATTGTCTTCTTCTCTATTGGAGCTCCTTTGCAAGACTTGTATAACATGGAAAAGGAAACTTGTCTTTTCTCTTAGACATTAAGTAAAAAAAAAAAAAAAAAAATGGAGAACAGTTACGAGAAAGATGATGATGATTACATTGAAATCAAAGGATTTTTAAAGATGCGTTCATCTTTTATAAATAACTTGTACAAAAATAATGAGAATTTATTAATGCTGTGCACAATACGATGCCATACATGTAGAAATCCTGATTTTTACGAAAAAAAAATTGCTCTTGAAATTGTTAGTAA